CATTTCAAAAACATATGTAAATTCCCTCAAAACTCCTTCATGTGCTCCTTAAATAGCTATAGAAGCTTCTGGATCTGTTTGGATCTCTTGATAATCAATGAAAAATCCTTGCTACTCTTAACACCCTGAATCTTCCATCGACCTTCACCTTTATAGTTAAATCTTTTAAATTTGACCTTATTTCTCTGGGCCTAGTTAACCATTCCATTCCCAGTACCACATCAGCCCCCCTAATAAAAAAAAAAGTATAAGTTCTGCTGGATTGGCCATCCTTGAAGCCATAGGATCATTTCTAAATATATTCCATCATATGAAATTTTTCTGCCATGACCTACCTCTGCTTGATAGGGAGGTGTCCTCTTAATAGGTGATTTAATTTCTTGAACCAATGCTGAAGATATGAAATTGTGTGCAGCTCCACAATCTATCAGAACAATTACAACTTTCTCTCCTATTATTCTCCATAACTTGAGTGATCTCTTGGATTTCAACCCCATAGCACTGTACATAGACAGTTGCAACGCACGACACTGCCCTGTGGCTTGAGCCTCCATTTTTTCTTCCCCTTCACTGTCATTTCCTTATTCCATAAACATCAAATGAAGGTTCTTATTCTTGCAAATATGATCTGGTGGGTACTTCTCATCACATCTGAAGCTTAAGCCTTTCTTCAATTTCTCTTGGAATTCTTCTTCTAGCAGTCTCCAGAATCCCCGTCTTGCTCGTACTTCCTCCAACATTCTTGCTTGTATTACAGTCTAATACTGATACTGTTGTAAATATTAGGTTATTTTATTATTATTAGTATTTGTTGTATTGGGCCAAGCCCATTAGGTCAAGGATTAGGTTTTTTAGTCTCTATAAATAGAGACCTCTTTGTATCAGATTAATACACAATTCAATAATATTTCAAATACCCTTTTCTTTCAAGTTGGTATCAGAGCTCTCGATCCTGAGGGCTCTGCTTCCGCGCCTACGAAACCTTTTATTCTTTTTTACGTCTCTCGCTGCTATCAGCCGCCACCGGAAATTTTTTTTTTCAGGGGACCTCTTGGACCGAGAAGACCATTGCTTCACTATTCCTCTTTCTTTTTCTTGTCTATTACACAACAAGAAACAAACGTTCACAGAATTAACGTACAGAACCTAGAACCACCGTACAGAACCTGTTCATCGCGATTGGACCCTTTTTCCGGTGGATTTTTCACTCCGAACAGCCACAGAAACCATCACGCTCGTCGGACGACCTTCGCCTGAAAAACCCAGCACCATCGGAGGTCAGACGCGCCTCCACACGCCGCCCTTGTCTCTGCGCGTGAATCCCACGCGCCTCCAGCTTCACCGGCGCGTGATGGCGCGTGACGGCCGCGGACCACCACGGTTCTGATCGTCTCTCCAAGCCGGTTCTGGATCTGTGCTCTCCACTTTGATCGGACATCGTTTGGTATTTTTTCCGAATTTCTTGGCTTCTTGGAGTTTGTTCTTTCACCAATTTCTTGCCTCCGACCAGATCTGACGTTGTTTGGTATTTGTTCCGGCCACTGTGTTACTGTTTCGGCCGCTGTGTTACTGTTCCGGCCAGATCTGACGTTGTTTGGTATTTGTTTGTGATTTTTTGGCTTCTTGGTGTTATCCTTTGACCATTTGTGTGCAGTATGGCCTCTTCGAGTTCCTTTACAAAGTTTTCTGATGGTGCATCTTCTAGACCTAAGAGAGATGATCGATGGTGTTCTTATTGTAAAAGAACAGGTCATATCAAGGATCTATGCTTTCGCCTCCATGGAAAGCAAACCGTCTTAGAAAAGATGGCTAGAATGCGTGGTCAAGCGCATCTTACTTCCTCTGAAATAACTCCTGCACCTAATGAGACCCAACCTGCATTTCGTCCAGATGAATTGAAACGGCTCCGAACCATCCTTGATTATCTGAGTAAGCCATCCGATACTAGTGCTTTGGCTATGACTGGTATGAGCTCCAAAACTCATTCTTTCCTTTCTTCATGTAATGATTTTAAACATTCTTGGGTTGTTGATTCTGGTGCTACTGATCATATGGCTTGTTGTGCTGACTCCTTTACTTCTTATCATCCTACCATTGGAACTCATACAATAGCCATAGCTGATGGCTCACATACATCAGTTGTGGGTTCTGGTGACATAAACTTACAGCAGTCCTTACATCTTAAAGATGCTCTTCATGTTCCTAAACTCTACACGAATCTTCTTTCTATTCATAAAATTACAAAAGATTTGAATTGTACTGTAACTTTCTTCCCTACCCATTGTGTTTTTCAGGATCTCGCCACGGGGAAGACGATTGGTAGTGCTAAAGAGCAAGGTGGGTTATACTACCTGGTGTCACAATCTCCCGCAAATAAAGAAACAGATCACATCTTGATGTCTCATGGTCAATCAACTAATGATTCTTTGATTTGGCTTCATCATAAGCGCTTGGGTCATCCTCCATTTGGTTTACTCAAGTCTTTATTTCCGTCATTGTTTTTGTCTAAGCCTATTGAGTCTTTTCATTGTAATGTTTGTGAGTTTGCTAAGCATCATCGTGTGTCTTTTCCTTCTAGTAATACTAAGAGTATTGAACCTTTTGATCTTATTCATTCTGATGTTTGGAGCCCTTCTAAAGTCTCTCATGCTTCTGGAAATAGATGGTTTGTTTCTTTTATTGATGATTGCACTCGTGTAACTTGGGTTTACTTAATGCGTGAAAAGTCTGAGGTACCACAATTGTTCTTTCAATTTTATAAAATGATTGAGACCCAATTTGGTAGAAAAATCAAGAGACTAAGAACAGATACTGGTACTGAATATGTTAATCACAGTTTTTTTCCAATTTATACGAAATAATGGTATGATTCATGAACATACTTGTGTTGACACCCCTCAACAGAATGGGGTTGCTGAAAGAAAAAATCGTCACCTTCTTGAAGTGGCTCGTGCATTAATGTTTCAGACACATGTACCCAAATACTATTGGGGAGATGTTATTCTTACTGCAGCATTCTTGATCAAGCGTTTACCCACTCGGGTCCTTGACCATGTAAGTCCTATTCACTTATTCCAACTATAAGTCTTCCTCCACGAGTGTTTGGGTGTGTTGCTTTTGTTCATGTTCATAAACATCATCGCAGGAAGTTGGACCCTAGGGCTATTAAATGTGTTTTTCTTGGTTATGTTCCTGATAAGAAGGGCTACAAGTGCTATCACCCTGGTAGTAGGAAATTTTTTGTTTCTATGGATGTTACATTTCAGGAATCTGAGTCATTTTTCCAAGGTCCTCATCTTCAGGGGGAGAATCCTTCACCTCCCTTCTTTGAGTCTTCAGTGTCTACTCCTTTAGTTGTGTCAGTTGATCCTCCTGTGTCTGATCCTCCTGTGAGTGATCTTCCTGTGTCTGATCCTCCTGTGAGTGATCCTCCTGTGTCTGATCCTCCTGTGACTGATCCTCCTGTGAGTGATCCTCTTGTGACTGATACATCAAGTACACCAGAGATACGGAAGATTATGACACCTCAGTTGGTATATCAACGAAGAAAACAGCCCACATTGCCTCAGCAGCAACCTCAATCGTCTGAACCACTGGTAAGTCCTGAATCTCATATTTCTGATCATAATACTTCTGATGACTTATTCATTACTACTGATTCTGATGATTTACCCATTGCTCTTAGAAAAGGAAAAAGATCTTGTTCCAAGAAATCTTGTTCCTCTTGTCCCTCTTGTACTCAATACCCTATCTCCCATTTTGTTTCCTCTGCTAATCTTTCTGTGCAGCACAAAAACTTTGTTTCAGCACTAGACTCTATTGCAATCCCAAAATCAGTACATGAAGCCTTGAAAGATGGGAATTGGGCTCAAGCCATGCAAGAGGAGATGAATGCATTGGAGAAAAATAAAACATGGGAGATTATTGATAGACCTAATGGAAAGAAAGCAGTAGGGTGCAGAGGGTTTATGCCCTGAAATATAATCCTGATGGAACTCTTGAGAGATACAAGGCTCGATTAGTTGCCAAAGGTTACTCTCAAACCTATGGCATTGATTACGAAGAAACATTTGCTCCAGTTGCAAAGATGAATACGGTGAGAGTCTTGTTATCCCTTGCTGCCCATTACAATTGGGATATAAATCAATTTGATGTGAAGAATGCTTTCCTCAATGGTGAGTTAGAAGAAGAAGGAGCTGAAGTTCATGTGTACTAGTGATCTTTAAAAGAATAATGCTACTCGCACACACTTATACACACATCATTTCATATTTACACAGTTTTCACGATGTGATGACAACTAATCTTACCTCATTTTCCACATACTTGATTCTATCACCTATGCTCGATGTGAGGTATGTGCAACCACAAGATGTGTAGAAAGCATTATTCTATCTAATAATCAGATGTTTCCGCAGTTCTCAAACTCCCCAAAGCTAGCACTAACAAAATCTTGACACTTTCAACACCTAGGAAGAAGATCCCAATGCAAATTTCATCCCAATAACTCCAGTCCCCACTAAGGGTCTGCTTGAACAAGTAGGTAAAAAACTTGAAAAGTGGAAAATTAGGAATGAATGAACAGTGTTTTCTTACTAGGCATAACCAGAATAAAAAAATGTACTATATAAGTAACTCATTTCCACTCTTAAGAACCAATTTGCATCCCTTCCAAACAAATAAAAACGATGATTTTTTTTTTTGTTTCACGCAATTTTTCATATAAAGCACAAACCTTGAAATTTTTTTACATAAGACATGCATATACAACACACAAGTCTCACCAAAAGTGAACAAAGCGAGTCATTTTGAGAAATCCGTCATAAACAACCAAAAAACAATGACCCAACCTCATGACATTTTAACAACAGAAAACCTTCATTTCAAAATCACTCAAAACCCACATTGGAGAATCAAAGAAAAAAAAAAAAATCAAATTCGATGATTAATTTTTTTTTCTTTAAAAAAAAATGGCATAGTGGAATAGAATAGAGGAATACCAGAAAGCAGTGTAGCTAGAGAAACCAAAAGCAGTGACCATAACACCAATTGAAGCAGCACCAAACGCACATTGTCCTAACCTCAACAGGAACCCGCTTATCGTCCCTGGCCCACCCAACAACACCTTCATGATCCTCCTCCTTCTGTCCCTTTAAGAAAAAAAGAGGGGGAAAAAACCCTAGATTTCAGAATTGTTCCATTACTGGAGATTCTCTCTTCCTGTCTCTCTCTTCATTGGAGAGATTTCACTGCAAATTGTGAATTGTAATTGAAATTCTTAGAGAGGGAGAGAGAAAGGAAAGGGGAATCGGAAAATAGTGGAGTTTGCTGAAGATCACTTTTGAATAGTAGCAGTGAAGGGAATCTTTTGGTAAAGTTTGTGTGAAAATTATGGTTTGTGCTTCCTTCCTGATGTTGAGAAATTTTATTTTAGTATTTGTTGCCATGCAAGTAGGAGCAGGTTGATCCCTTTTTAGGTAAAAGAAAAAATATATATAATGATATATTATTATTTAGTATATATATCTACTTCATTGATTATACCATTAATTCGAATTTTTGGCTTTATCAACATGAAGAGCTATCTTAACTAATATTTTATGCTTATCACTCAATTTAATTACTCTAATATCATTTCTAAATTAAGAGGGGTTAATTTTTTATAAATAAAGAAATTATTTATAAGTAGTACGCAAGTTGAAGTCTAGGTTATTAAAAATTCGATTCTATTGTTTCATATTTCAAAATTTAATATGTTTTTAGTTTTTAATTAAAAAGTATGACTTGGATACAATTTCTTATCTGTCAAAAGATTATTACAATTGGACTAATATCGCAAGTGATAAAGTGAAATTGGCTGAAGGCAAAAACTAAAAACACCGTACATAAAACTTACTACTAATTGCTCAATTATTGAGTTTCTACATGACATAGTTGATGTGATTTCGGAACAATCTCAAAAGAAATACAGTTGTAGTAAAAAATACAAATTTATGTTTTCTATGGGAAATAGTAGTGTACCTGCTCCAGCCGTTTTTCTTTCTTTCTTAGGAAAGTAAATTAGTTTAAAGCAAAAATAAGGTATACATGATCCAAAGTAATTAAAAGGTTAGGAGAGTCATCCGAATTCTGTTATAGAGTAATAAAAGGTTAGTTTTTCTTCACTTACCGTCTTTAAATTTTGGGAATTGTTTTTCTCATGAAATATAAGATAAAAAAAAAATTCTACACACATATATAAAGAGTTGAGATTTATTTATATTTTTCTCTCTCTTATATTCTCTCTCCTCTCTCCTCTATATGTGTCTGTAAGAGAGAGATTTTATCTTATGTCACATAAGAAAACAATACCTCTTAAACTTTTGGATTGAAATAGTTTTTTATATAGTATCAGAGTTAAGGTAATTACGAGATCACGAGTTTGATCATCACTACCCCTTGAAAAATAGGCCTATAATATCTACGCTTCAATATCCAAAGAGCTCTTACGTACAGAGGAGTGTTTGAGAGACTCTTCATTTTATAAATTTAAACTTTTGAGTCAAAATGATTCATTACAAATTCAAATAATAACCAGAGAATTTTTTGTATGCTTGTACAGGGGGACTTCTCATAGATTATGTGACTTTAATTAACTGTAAATGTTGTAAATATATATTTAATAAGGGTTTAACATTTCTACTTTTGCTACAAAAAAAAAATTTATGTAACACTCACATCAAAGTGAGTTAATTCTATTATTTTTTGCTCTCTTTTCTTTTTAAAATGTGGCTCACTTGCTTTTATGTGAGTGTGACAGAGAAAAAATTTCTGCAACAAAAGAAGAAATATTTTTCTCATTTAATAAAGGTCTGATCGGATGGACTTTTACTTTTATATTTCTAGAAGAATTTTTTTAAATATTAAAACTATTTCGCATTTATATAATTATTTGATGTTAAAATTAAAAAGAATTTTTTATGCATGAATATACTAAAAGAATGTGTTAAAACAAACCATACTAACAATATTTAGTGATGTTGGTGACACGATGGTGGAATTGTGGGAGTAGTGGCATGTTGATAGCGACGACGACAATCATAGTGGTGATAAGATGATGATTGTGATGGCGATGAACATGGTTGCAGGATGGTGGTGATGGAGATAGTGTTAGTGGCAATGACAATAACAGTACTAGTGGTGAAAGTGATGGCGAAGTGATGGTGGTAATAACAATAGCTATCAAAGTTGGTCAAGATTGGGTTGGTGCGAATTTGTATTTTGAGAAAAGTATTTGACTTTAACTTAATTTTCTTTCTAGAACCTACAAACTTCGGCTTAAAAGAAAAAAAAGTGAGATTTTGACTTTTTGTAAACTCTACTTTTTTGAAAAACTAACATCCATGAGAAACATTTTTTTTAAATGAAATAACTTTTCAGAAGGGGAAAAATAATCTAAACAAACTCAGAGTATGTTGCTCAAGGGGAAAATATTCAACATACAAAAACATTTTTAATGACAAATGTTGTAACAGAAAAATCATCCTACCTGGGCTGAGCTTAATGACCTCAACGATAGATTAGCTAGATTGGTTGGCTATCACAGATAGATAATAATCTTCTTATTTGGTTTATGGAAAGTTGAGATAAGTTATCACCATGCATAGAACTACACATAAGCTAATAGGGCCAGTAGAAAATATATTTACTTCCTTTGAAAACAATATTTTGCTCCTTCATAGGTGTTTGCCTGATTATGCCTCTCACTTCATAAGCTCAACCTAATTTGGGGGAGAGCATTGGGTGAGATTCCCCCAAGTCTAACTCCAGATGAGATTTGGATCATATGTACTTATTTATTTATTTATTTAATAGTATGGACTAATTTTAATCATAGTAGTTAATTGCGTTGCAATAACGCCGCGAGCCGCGCTGTATGGGTGTTGCGGTGCCTCGCCGCAAGAAACCGCGCCGCTCCGCACCGGAACGCAATAGTGGCCATTGCGATCGCATTTGCGGCCATATTGCTGTCATAAGGCAAAATGTCAATTTTGTCCTAAAGTTAAATGTGTAACAGATAAAATTTAAGGATTTTTTAGTCTATTCGCGTCTCTTTCTGTCACTTCTGTTGTCTCTGCCTTTAAAAAATGTTTCTTTTTGTCATTATTTCTGTCATATATCTATTTCGCTATTTCTGCAACCGCAATCCGCTATGACGCTATAGCGTTTTTCAAGGTTGGCCGCGACATGCCGCAATCCGCATTTGATAACTATGATTTTAATCCTTTAGAGAGAAATATAAGGCTAAAGTTCCGCAAGAACATCATAATAATAACCACGAACCATGCTAAACAAAAGTTAAATTTTTATATCCTATCATTTGAGTTGAAGGTACAATTGTAATTTCATGATATAAGGTTTTCTTTTCTTCCATTATAAAACACCATTGTTTCAAAAAAAGCAGAATCAATACCATCAATAAAAGCTCCACGTGTTTATTCATGTTATTATCCCAATCAAGAAGTTTTCCCCAAATAAAAGATTGCATTTTGCATAATGCAAAAGCTCAAGAAAATCAGGGCAATCATATTCCACGGTTGAAAGGAGCTAAGTAACAATGCAAAGCCAAAAATTGAATGAATTTTCCTCATATCATATTTCACATTAGGAAAGATACCAATGAAATGTGACGAACCCTGTATGTATAAAGGCAAGCCTGTAAAATCCCAAGAACGAAGACATGGAAAAATGCTAACAGAGGACATGTTTACCAATAATAGCCATCATACACATTCAAATTCATCGTCTTCAAAAAGCAAAGCACACACACACCTTTGGATAATATGAGGATATAACACAAACAAAAACAGGGCTACATGTGAGCAGTAATAACATTTCCACAGTGCAGACTACTAATGTTGCTTTAAACCAAACCCAATTCTTTAACCAATCCAAAGGCGTATAAACATTTGGGACAGATAAGGAAAGAAAGTGTATGATACTTCTACAATCCTTAATATGTTAGAGGGGAAATAAATATCCACTTTGAAACAATTGTCTTAGTTCACAGCTAACTTCCACAGACCTGTGCTCAGCTCATAGAGAATATCAAGAGACAAGAAACACCATTGGTAAGGAAACTGAGAATTTACATATTATTTGATACTATTTAGTCTTCAAGAAGATCACAGTTCCTTTACCAGAATATGTTCCACCTCCCAGGGAATAGTAGACATTGAATCCTGAATAGAAGAGGAGGAAAAAATATATATTCAGAGTAGAGCTAACCAACGAGAGATATCAGTTACTTTTAAAATTAAAATCCAAACCTCTATAGAACTCTCAGTACATTTGAACAGTTGTTTTTTTTTTAAGTACAGAAGTAATATAATGAAAAAAAAAAAAAAATCCAAAATCTTAGGAAGTTAAATTTGACAGTGCAAATAAAGCATGTCTCTGCTAAAATTATCATGGCAGTAGGAAAACCATCAAAAGTATATAGGGAAAAGTAAACGAACATGTTTGTTTTTTTGGATTGCATCACTCATGGTAAAATGAATTAAGGTTTAGAGATAACGGAACATTGAACGGTCCTGTCACACTTGGCTTTGGCTTTTTATTGATATATTAAACCTGATACAAGTCAGAACTCAATATTTAGGACACTATCAATACATTTGAACTGAAACACTACATGACAATAAATGACTTCAGAACACTGCAACAGTTAATTAAACTGACAAAGAGTATTATCACGTGAGCACCACAACATTATTGTTAATCCAATAACTTCAAGCACAACGGTCAAATCAAAAATAAATAAATAAAAATAAAATTGAGAGTTAAATGGAAGTTGTTAATCTCACCTTGTTCCCTCGCTTTAGTAGGCCTTTACCGATCATTTCACGAAAAAGCTTCTCTACCTTTCCTTTCTCATTTTTATTCAAAAGAGCACGAATAATTGTTTCATAAGTTACTGCATCAGGAAGGCAATCATTGCCTTTCATTACTGAAAGTAAAGCTGTGGCTTCATCAAGGAAGCCGTGTTTACAGAACCCACTGATCATAATATTATAAGTCCAAACATCTATACGATAACCATGGTTCAAAAGATGATGAAAAAACTCTTCAGCTGTCTTTAGTCTCCCACCTTTGCACAAACCATTCAGAAGAATATTGTTTGCATACACATCTAGACGTATTCCTTTGTTAATAATTTTCTGAAATAATGCAATTGCCTCATCAAGAAGTTGGGCTTTGCACAGAGCATCTAACAAGATATTGTAAGTAATTAAATCAAGGGCCTGACCATTTTGATGCATATCATTTACAATATCTTGCACACATGTTATTCTCCCCGATTTGCACAAGCCATCAATAACAGAATTATATGTTACACGATTTGGAACCAAATTTTTGTGACGCATTTCATTAAAGAGAGTTACAGCTTCATCGACCTTTTTATTTTTGCAATATCCATCAATCATAATACTGTAACTCCAAACATCTGGTGTCAAACCTATTTTGTCCATATCATCAAATAGCTTTCTTGCCTCGTTCACTTTATTGATTAAAAAGTATCCATCCATCAAAGCACAGTGAGTGACAACATGAGGCTTAGGACCTCTTTCCAACATCATATCAAATAACTCTTGAGCTTCTACTATGCTTCCTTCTTTACATAATGCATCAATCAAAATACTAAGTGTATATAGGTCTGGGTTGATTTTTTGTTGACCCATTTCATTCAGCAATCGAGCTGCTTCTTTCAATTGACCGGCACAACAGAAACCATGAATTAGAGAATTGTACGTGACTATATCAGGGGAAATTCCCTGGGCAATTGCCTTAGAAAACAAATTGTTAGCCTCAGTTACAAGCCCATCTTTGCATAACCCGTCAACGATCGTATTGTACATGACTAAATTAGGCCTAATCTGTTGCCGCTCCAGCTTTAGCAGCAACTCAAGGGCAGCTCTTACTTCTCCCATTTTACATAACCCGTTGATCAATGTCCCATAACTAACCTCATCAAGCAGAAATCCAAATGCTCTTACCCTGTCATGAAATTCCAGAGCTTCCCTCATCTTCCTATTAATACAGAGTCCTTTCATTAGTGTTGTCAAAGTTATGGTATCCAATTCATAACCCATCTTGATAATCTTACCCAAAACAGAAAAAGCAAAATCCATCCGACCCGCGTGGCAATAACAATTAATCAAGATGTTCAAAGTAATAATGGAAGGAGCGATTCCCTTAGAGTCCATAAGAGCAAAGAGTGAAAGAGCAGTAGGGTATGCTTTCATCTTAACAATAGATCCCAAAATCTTATTAAATTCAATTACAGACGGAGGATGAGGCTTAGCGAGAGCGGACATGAAAGAGGAGACAGCATCATCAATGTTATGAGAAAGAGGAGAATATAACCTAATCAAAGACAGAGAAGCAGTGGAAGAGTGGGTGCATCTCAAAGAGAAGTGGAATTTGGAAATGGCATACCTCGTTGTTGTATTCAACATCGTTGTCCGTAAATGTTATCTATTCACCGCTGGGTTCCTCTTCTCTCCGGGCTTCTTACCCTAAGCTGAGGAAATGCTGAAGATCGACAAAAAAGCGTCCCAAAGTTGGCATATCGTTGATTACTTCTTGAACTTACCCAGCAACTTAATTTTGTGAAAAGTATTTCCTATTTTAAATCTTCTTCCCATTTTTTATTTTTTAATTTGAGATATTTGAATCGATTTATTATTTTGTGACTAATTTGACTTGAAGTAGACTTCAGGATTAAGACTTTAAATTTCTATAAAAAAAAATGATGCTGAGGATGCTCTCACCCCTAAATGTTTAGTAATGCCAACTAATCTATCATCATCTAGTTATGTTCTCCCCATTTATTAAAAAAATTATTTTTTTATGCATACTTTGTAACTTTTTACATGTTCTTCTAATTTTATCCGAATATGTATCAAAACACAGTCATTTCACAATAATGTGACCTTTAAAATATAATTAAAATGCCATGCAAGTAGGAGCACGTTGATCCCTCTTTTGGTAAAAGAAAAAAAAATATAATGACATATTATTTATTTAGTATATGAGTTTTATTAATATCATGTTAAAGGAGATAAGTTATCTCATGTTATAGAGATACATTTGTAGGATCCACCACCTGAAAAAAAAAGTGCACAATTATCAAAGGGTGTGTAAGAAAGAAATTTACCACAAATAATATAAGAGTAGTTTTTCCGTTAGTATATATATCTACTTCATCGCTAATTCGAATTTTTGGCTTTATCAACATGAAGAGCTATCTTAACTAATATTTTATGCTTACCACTCAATTTAATTACTCTAATATCATTTCTAAATTAAGAGGGGTTAATTTTTTATAAATTATCAAATATGTATCAAAACACAATCATTTCATAACGATGTGACCTTTAAAATGAAAAATATTTTTTCTTTAATTTTATTGATTGATTTATTTTTAAAACTTACACAACAATTAAGGGAGAAGTAAGTTTTTTTTTTTTTTTTAGAAAATGAAAATATGACAAAAATGAAAATATGTATAAGAGATAGGATCAATGTTATTAAAACCGGTTCGGTCAATGATCCGGTCGAGTTACCGAGTCACTGGTTCAATCACATGACCCGGTGATTATATATAAATCTATAATTTATATTAAAAAAAGGGAAAAATATTTATCCTTTTAAATGACATAACTTATATCATTTCACTTTCATAAAGAGGTGGGACCCACATCTTTACTTTTTGTCAACTCTCTCTCCTCCTTTATCTATCTCTTTATCTCTCTTAAAATGACACAATTTTACATCCTTTAAAATGATACACATTTTTCCTTAAAAAATTATAAATATACTCAAATAGCTGAAAAAATAATATAAATTCTAAATATTTTAATATAAAAAATAATAAATTATACATTGTTGTCCAATAAAGGATCAAACAAACACATAATGCTTGTTATATTGGTGTTTCAGATTCGGTAAACGACATCTCTAACTATCAAATCAAAATTCCCTTCATAATGCATAACTGAGATAATATTAGTATTGTAGGTACATAACTTATGTAAGTCAATAAGTAGCAGATCACTCAAATATGTCAATTATGATTTTTTTATGAAACTTTTTTTTTATGAATTTTTTTTTTTTAAAACCCGGGCTGAGTTACTGGTTTTTCACCAAAACCGGCCGGGTCGTACCGGGTCATATACTTGACCGATCCAATGTGATAATCGGACCGGTCAGATGACCGGTTCACCGGGTTCTGGGTCAACCAGGCTGGTCTGGTCCGGTTTTCCCAACATTGGATAGGATCAACTTATAACTACATAAAAATAATAAATCTTACATCTAATCTTAACTGTTGATTCTCGTATATCTAACGATTGTGATTTATTGGACCACATTCATTAATTAATTATTAATTTTTAATAAATCATAATCATTAAGTATACAAAAATCAACGATTAAGATCTGGTATAAAACTTATTATATTGCATAAAAATAAAAATAAAAAGCTATCCTTACCAATTTTTTAACTGAGATGTATATCAAGCTTCGAACTCGAGATCACAGATCAAGCTACAACAATCATCGAGTAGTGCTTGATGGTATTGAATCTAAATTAAACTTATATTCATTATTATTTATATTTTTTGAAAAATTTATCTTCATTAATTTGATAGGGAGATAATTGACTTAATAAAAATAAGCAAAATATAAGTGTGATGAAATAAACATTCACTAATCAATGGAACATTGATCAAGGGAGGTTAGGGACATAATAAATGAATATATATAACTTGGCTTTATTATTTCTCTTATTATTGGAAATAAAGTTTTCTCTTGTTATTGGAGATAAAGTTTTCTCCTGTAACCTTAAAACTACATCATTTTGAGGGTAATTAATGAAGAGTATTTTAGTAAAATTCATATAGTAAAAAAATAAACAAAATTACTGAAATAACCTTTATTAATTCTCCTAACTCTCAAAATGATATAATTTTGGAGATCTGAAGATAATTTTATCTCCTGTAATAAAAGAAAAAATATCAAACAAAACAATAATAGTTATTGGAATACATTTGACGAATGCATTCTTTATGAGAAAAAGATATTCAAATACTTTTGAAAAAGTAATGAAAAATCTTTTGCTACATTAAAATATTCAAATACTCTTTTATTGAAGCAAATCATAGAGCATATTTCAACCTGTTTTAGATTCTAATGACTTTCACACAATTCGAATGCATATTCTTGACTTGAGAAAATTATTGTAATGTTTTAAAAAGGGATGGCAAAAACGAGCTAACCCGTCGGGTTGGCTCGTAACCCGTAAAAAATGAGTCGGGTTGGGTTGGCAAAAATGAGCTGCCAACCCGACCCGAGCCAGCTCGGAAAAAAGCGAGCCAACCCGCGGGTCATGTAAAGAACCACTTCAACCCAAAATCTTAAGGTGTTAGGTGAGGGTCTTTTTAATGATTTATATTATTCTCTAATATACCCCCTCACGCAAGAGCCCTAGAAGCGTGGGTATTGCACAAGCCAAATTTTTTGTTTACCTTTTGTGCTTTTATTTTAATTCCACTTTAAAGTGGGGGGCGATGGCCGGTGAGGATCGAACTTATGACCTTGTAGTCACTCAAGCTCTGATACCATGTAAAGAACCACTTCAACCCAAAACCTTAAGGTGTTGGGAGAGGAACTTTTAATGATTTAGATTATTCTCTAACAGGTCAAATGAGTTAGCTCGCGGATTGAGTTTTTTTTTATATAAAATATACAAAATATAATATACAAAAATAGACAAAACTCACAAATGCTGTCATCGTCTTTCTTCCTTCTTTAAACCTGAGTCCCTAATCTTCTTACATCCCTGCCATTTTTATATTGTTAGGTTGTGCTGGCTCTGTTTGGTTCAAATATCTTACTCACTTGGTAACAAGTGGTTCTGATTGTTTCTTGATGTTGGTGTAAATTTGTTGTAAAAAAATTAGAAACTAGAATATTTTGCTTTTATTTATCATTCTGTAACCTTTGGTTAAGCTGATGGAAGCCACATAGCTGGTACATTAATACTACAGGTTCATTTAAATAGGCTGAAAACAAGTCAACCCGCGAGCAATTTTCGAGCTAACCCGCAAGCCAATTTTCGAGCCAACTCGCGAGCTATTTTTTCAAGCAACCCCCGAGCCATATTTTTGAGTCAATCCGCGAGCTAAGCCTAACCCGACTCGGGTTAGGTTGAGTTGAATTTCCTGGCTCGTTTTTTTTCGAGACAACCCTAACCCGACTCATTTTTTTCGAATTGCATGCGAGTTCTTGAATCAGCGTGTATATATATATATATATTGAATCAGCGTCTATATATATATATAAGCGTACGAGTTCTTTAATCAGCGTGTGTGTGTGTGTGTGTGTGTGTGTATATTGAATCATTGATTTGAAGCTGCTTGTTGCTGTCCAGTTTTTTTTTTTTTTTTGAGATTAATATGCTTGAAAGGAGATTTTTTTGAAGCTTGTTCTAATTTTTTCAGATTTTTTGGAAACCCATTTTTTTTGCTGTCCAGACATGTTATCTTATGGATAATAGTTAATGAAATTGGTCCTTTAATTGATTTTTTTGCTGTCCATTTTTTTTACTTGCTAAAAATATTTACACCTTTAGTCCTTTAATTAATATATGGAAGCATTGAAAATTGGTTCATCTTTGACAAACAAAAGGTGAAACATATAGTGGGGCTGAAAAAAAATATTACAAGATAACAAAAAAATCCATGTTACTTGAATGGTAGTTTTCAGTAGATCATTGACGATAGTTTGTTATCTCTTGCTAGCAATAAGGTGTCGAGGGGTTAATTTTTTTTTAAAGGGTAGTGTTGGTTTTTAAAAGACTAACACCGTTAACTTTAATTTGGATGGAAAATCAAGTTAGGGGAGTAAGTGATAAAAAAAAGTTTTAAGTAGGAGTGTAAATGATTAAAATTTTTGGGGAGAGGGGTAAGTGATTCTGAAGAGATTTATAAGGGGGTTTCTGAAATTTTCCCTAAAACTAATTAGAAGTTTCGCATTGGACCTCTTATACAAAAATATTATGGTACAAATTCTTGTATATATCCTAGTCTATTAAAGCGCTTGCTACCATCATGTACAAGAAAATAAGAAACATTAGCTTGATGCTAAGTCAGAAAAATTGCACCAATGTCTAGCCTTTAACAGAAATGAATACTAAAGCAATAGAAGAAAATATTAAAATCTTACGAAATACAGATCAAAACACATTTTATTTTCTTGCATTACCATGAAGGAAAAACCTAAGGGGCTGTTTGGTTGAAGGAATCTTGTGAGAATGATAGATAAATGGGTGGTGGGAATGTATGAAAGCAGCGTTTGGTTGAAGGTGGTTCTTTACTCTGCTACCTAGATCTGATTCCTAGCAAACGTATTTGCATAGGTATTTCAAGACAAAAAGCCGGCCAAGATTGCCCTTCTCGTAGGTGGTTTTCCTGAAAGGCTCGATATTTTCTCACACCACTTACAAACCCAAAGACGAGCGTACCCCTTGTT